ATTCCCAGTGAGGGTCCCACTGGGATGGGAAGCCTGGCCAAGGAGCTCCAGCTCACTCCCACAACATGTCTGGCCTGACCCACTGGGAGAACAGCCTCCCTAGAAAAAAATTTACAAGGCTTTTTAATTACAAAATTCATTTTCTAGGCCAGGATGCTGGTCCTCTCATCCCAGCACCGGGGAGCAGAGGGAGGGATGCACACAGGGATCTAGGGGGGGATGGATGGAGAGAACGCCGGGCTGTGAGCGCTCTTCTAGTCCACAGGATCTTAACTGTAGTTTATATTCCAGCGGTTATTAAAAATAAAGGGGGAGAGCAGGGAGGGAAGCTAAGAGCAGAGCAAGCTGTTCATTTGGAGCCTTTCCCTGGGGTTTAATAAAGCCCCACTCGCTGCTGTAGTATCATTTTTATGCTATCATAAAGCTGGACCATTTAGCAGGTTTGTGTTACTTCAGCAGTTAGCGCTGCATGAGAAGTGATTCCAGAAGAAGGGAGAGAGGGGGGGAAAAATTAGAAGATGAAAACCCCTGAAAGGAGAGAGAAAAATGAGGTGGGAAGGAGGAAAGGGGATTCCTCCTGGCCACGCCGCCGGCAGCACTGCAGCACATCAGGGCAGCTCAGGGGGATGCCCGTGGGCTCCCCCATCCCTGTGAGAAGCCAGGGACAGGCAGGAGACCCCTGTTCCATCCCTGGGGTGCTGAAGGGTCAGGGACCTCAGCCCAGCACCCAGGGGGACCCAGCCTGTGCTGCAGGAAAGGGTCAAGGGGTCCCCTCACAGGAGGGGATCCCAGGGGTGTTGCACCTGTAGGGACCAGAGAGCCAGGGCAGCTGAGCCAGGAGCTGCTGGGGATGAAGGGGGTCCCCGAGGTGAAGGAGCCGCAGCTCTCCCCGGCCCTGGGTGGTCCCTGGGATGACCGGGCTCTCCCGGCCCCTCTGCTCCCGGCCCTGGGCAGCTCTCCGGGGAGCATCAGGCTCTCCGTGCCGCTGGAAAAATCTCCATATATGGAGAGGATGGGATACGTGACTGAGCTGAGCTGAGCCAAACCGCCCCAACGGGAGCCCCGACCGGGCAGCCCCCACTCAGCCAGGGCCGTGCCCCCGCAGAGCCCGCTGAGCTGGGGGGCACCCACAGGGCTAATCCCAGCACAGACAGGAGCTGTGCACCCCCAGAGACGGGTCACCCTCAGACGGGTCACCCCTCAGACAGGTCACCCCTCGAGACGGGTCACCCCATCCCCCTGTGAGTCCCCCCTTCACCCCTGTGCCACCCCCACGGCAGCACCCGTGCCCTCGTTGGCACCCTGACTGCCCTCCACGAGGGGAAAGTCATCCCCATCGGTCCAGGTGCTGGGTTGGAGCCTCTCCAGCTGCACTGGGCAAGGCTCCAGAGGCACTGTCCCCATCCAAGAGGGCAAGGGCCGGGGCTGGGGCAGGGGGTGGCACCAGTGACAGAGCCACAGAGTCAGGAGCTGCTCCCCTGGAGGATGCCCTGGGGTTGCCCAGACAGGCTCTGCCCCCATGGCCACAGCTCAGGGGTCCCCATGTGCAGCAGGGAGGGGAAGCACCCTGGTCCCCAAACCCTTGAGCAGCAACGGGTACCTGGGCCATGCTCTCACCCAAACACCATTTGCACACCTTTTTCTCCCTAATTCATTTCCATCGTGCCCTGCAAGAGGACGGTGGCACTTGGTGGGGGTGTCTCTGCGTGGCAGCCCCCAGGCCCGAGCACACAGCACTCCCTGGCAGCCCCGGCCCCCCGTGCCAGGCACAGCCGCCGCTCAGCCGACCCGGCAAGAGAAAGGAGGAGGAGGAGGGAGGGCTGGGAAATTAAGGTTTTCAGCACTGTCAGAGCCGCATCAAACAGGCATCCACCAGCTGATGGCTTGATTGTTATATTTTGGATGTCAAACCGGAGCAAGCAGAACCCTTTAAAATGCATCAGTGCCGCTGCCTTTCTGACGGAGGGTGTTGGTTTCCCATTAACAAGAGGGAAGCGTGAGCTGGAGCAGAAAACTTCAAGCGCTTTGGAATTGATAAAATAACAACTCCCTAATTAAGCAGAACTGTCAGTCAGCAGGCACCCGCTGCCCTGCATGGGGAAGCAGCAGCGGCAGCTCCCGGTGCACGAGCCTGACACGCCGGCTCAGCCCCTGGATCACAGGGGGCACAGGGGGACCCACATCCCGGTGGGGCAGCAGCCAGAGCACCCCCCATGCTCCCCATTAAACCCAGCTGGGTCCTGGTCCCGGCACTGGGCACAGCCAGGGTGTTTGGGTGACTGTTTCATGAGTTCACCATGAGTGATGGAGCTGACCGATCCCTGGAAGTGTTAGACAGGGCTTGGAGCAACTTGGGATAGTGGAAGGTGTCCCTGCCCGTGGCAGAGGGTGGAACCAGATGGTCTTTAAGGTCCCTTCCAACCCAAACCATTCCATGAGTCTATGATTCTATGAAACCATGTCATGCAAAGCACAGCCTGGTGGAGAGGCCGGACCCCAAAACACACCCGAGTCATCATCCAGCCCATCTGAGAGACAACAGCCAGCCTGGGGCACACACTCCTGAGGGACACATGGGACACCATGGCCAGCTGTGAGTTCAGCATCCCCACTGCCAGCTGGATGCAGGAAAGGGTCTGGCCATGAAGGTCCTCCCAGTGCCAGAGCAGGGCAGAGAGTTTTGAAGTGTCCAAGGCCAGGTTGGATGGGGCTCTGGGGAACCCGGTCTAGTGGAAGGTGTCCCTGCCCATGGCAGGGGGGTGGAACTGGATGAACTGTGAGGTCCCTTCCAACCCAAACCGTTCCATGATTCAGTCCTGCCAGAGCAGCAGCACAGCCAGTGCCTGGGGGGATGCTGGGCCTGTGCCAGGCCCCCAGACCTCCACCATCCTGCTCTCCCCAGCACAGGGGGCTGGGAGCAGCTCATTGCAGAAGCAGCTGAGACCTCGCTGTGACTCTGCCGTGCTGGGAGATGAACCGCTGTGGCCCTGCCACGCTTCTCCCAGGCCTGGGGCCGGAGGGACACGGCATCTCCAGGGCTTCTTTGAACAGCCACCAGTGCCACTACCACAGAACCAACCACCCAGCACTCTGGGTGCTCCCTGGGCACACAGAGGAAGGGACACCGAGGGGGTTTGGGGCAGGGGACAGCCAGGAGTGATATGGGACTGTCAGAAGGTGTTTAACCCCTGACATGCTGGTGTCTGATGAAACAACTGCACAAAGGGGGCCTCTGCTTCTCACTCCAGGCTATTGTCAGCCCTCACACCACCATCCCCAGTTGAGGACTGAGCACCTGCAGCACCAGGAGAGGCTCCAGGGCACCCTGCTCTGGACAGCCCAGAATGGAGGAAGGATTCTTCTCTGGGCAGTCCTCAGCCCAGCTGGGGGGTTCAAATCCCAGTGCCATTGTGGGGTCAAGGGAGGCTTCTGTGAGGGAACCAGCCCACACCACTGCAGTCCTGGCAGCAGAGCCACCTGCCCACAGCCCAGGCAGAGCCCTGGCAGATGCTCTGACCCGAGATGAGCCAGGAAAGGGGAGAGCATCCCATCACAGGGTGCACACAGGTGAGCCCACCTGAGCAAGCAGCCCCTCCAAATGCCCCTGGATTTGCAGCTGGACCCTGAGCCTGCCCTCCCCTTGCACATCATGCACCACAAAGCCCCCACTGACACATGTGGCTGCCTGGGAAACCCTTTGCTCCTCATCCCAGCCCCCAGTCCAGAGCCTTGACACACCTCCCCGACACATCTCCAGATCCCACCAGTGCATGTCCCCTGCTGTCCCCACCAGGTGTGAGTCCCTTCTCTGTCAGCACATGTCCAGGGCTGTGCAGGTCTCTCCCTGGGTGGAGGTTTGAGAGGCACCACACAACCACCACCTCCTGCCACCTCCACAGCCCCGACACCATTCCCTGGTCAGTCTCCACACTGAGGGGCACCGGCTGCCCTCTGCCCACCCACCACGAGTGGGTGCCCAGCCTCCACATAGCACCAGCCCCCACAGCCTGGATACAGGTGCCACAGATTCCAGCCTTCCTGTCCCAAAAGAGCCCCATTTGCACCCAGGAAGGACCCCCCAAGGTGGGCCGGGTCTGGACCCAGGACTCGCGTGCCAGGGCCGCAGGCTGGTGTGAGAGCCCCCGGAGCCTCGTCACACACTAATCACACTGGAGGTGACAGGGCTTAGGGGAGGACTTAAGAGAAACCGACTCCTTTTTACTGACACCATCTGGACACAGCCGATCTCTTCCCCCTTCCCAGCGCAGCGCCAGCCGGAGGGACAGGGGCCGGGGTGACCCCCAGACCCAGCGCTCCCCGTGCCAGGGATCCCCAGCTCCCACCGAGCGAAACGGGAATACTGTCCCTGCCAGGGAATCCTAACGAGCCCACAGTGCCAGCCGGGATCGGAGCCGGGGAATGCCAGCTTGGAGCTGCGGGGACCGTGTGCTGCCTGCACGGCCCCCCCGGGAGGGGGACGCGGCCCCGGGGAAGGCGGGGGCTGAGACAGGGGGGACGCACTGGGTACAAGCCAGCCTGGAGACACCTGTTTGGGGACAGCCCTCCCTCCGGCTGTGCTCCCGGGCACGCCACCAGCACGCGGGGACCTGGCACGGCAGGGACAGCAGAGCTGTGACGTGGGGTTGTCATTCACCGCACCCCGGTGCTTGGATACCTGGGAGAGCCGGCCACGACCCCGCCGCCTGTCGCCATCCCCGACCCCCGGGAGAGCGGTGGCTCCGCTCCGGCGCTCAGCCCGAGCCCGGCGGGCGACACGGGGACAAGCTCACCCCGCTTCCAACACGCAACACCACGAGGCACCAGCTCTCCCCAAAACTTGTCCGAGCCCTTATCTCCCCAGCCGTGAGGACAGCGGGGATCCCCCAAACCGCCCAACCAGAACCAAGCTCCGGCTGCCCCAGGAGAAGCCTCCAAGCTCCGGCACACCTTCGGGAGAGGGGGCAAAGTTGCACTGGGGTTGGGGTCAGGGGGTGAGGTACCTTCCAGCCGGCGGAGCTGTTGCTGTCTCCTTTATCCTTAAAGTAGGGGACGTATCGCACCATCCAGTCGTAGATCTGCGAGAGGGTGAGGCGCTTCTCCGGCGAGCTCTCGATGGCTTTGGTGATGAGGTCGGCGTAGGAGAGGTTGCCCCAGGCGTTGCGCCGGGAGGTCTTGGCCTTGCGGAGCTGCCCCACATCCGCGCCGGGGGGCGGCGGGGGCGCGGCGGCGACTCTGCGCTCCACCGGGGCCACCGCGTTCTCGGCTCCGTCCCCGCCGGCCGCCAGCGCCGGGGGTCCCCCCGCGCCCCCATCCTCCTCCTCCGCCGCCAAGTCGGGGTGGGGGAGAGGCCAAGTGCAGGAGCGGGGCCGGCTCTGCGGCTCGAAATCCGGGTCGATCTCCACCTGATGCGCCTGGAGCTTTTCTTCCATGGTCCCCTCCCCGCCGTCCCCCCACAGCCCTCCCGGAGTTACGGGCGGTTTCCACCCAAAAAAAAAAAAATAAACACACAACAAAAAACCCAAAATCTCGAGAGGGAGAGGAGTGCGAGGGCGGGCTCCTTGCCCGGCTGGAGGGGAGAGGGGAAGGAGGTGCCGCTCGGTCCTGGCGCGGGGAGCCCCGGGTCCGGCGGCTCTAGGAGGCGGCTGTGCCGGGAGCGCCGAGCCGGGGGACGCGCTGCATGGTCCTCGGCCGCCTCTCCAACCCCGGCCGAAGCGGAGGGGTGTTTTTTGGTTCGGATTTGGTTTTGGTTCGGTTTTTACCAGCCGCGGAGCTCCGGAGCGGTTCCCGGCTCGGCGGCCAGCGGGGCGGCTGCGGGCGGGCAGGGCGCGGGGGCGGCCGCATCCATCGGGCTGGCTCAGGCAGCAACAGATGAACCGGGGCGAGCGGCGGCGGGCGGCATCCTCGGCCGGGCACCGGCGCACTCCGGGGCACCTGGGCGGGCGAGAAGCGGGACGGAGCTGGCGGGGGGAGCCCTCGGCGCGGCGGGCGCAGCCTCCCGCGGGCGGCCCGGCGCTAGGTCCGGCGTTGCGGCGGAGCCATGCTGGCGGGCGGCACGCACCTGACAGCGCCGGCGAGGGCGGCGGCGGGCGGGCTCCCGCCCCTACGCCCCCCCGCTCCGCTTCAGCGGCCGCGCACCTGCCCGCCGCCGCCGCCGCCGCCGCGCTGCCGCCACGGCGCGGGCGGGCCACATGCTGGAGCGGCTGCTCGCTCGTTCGTGCGCTCCTTCGCTCGCTCGCTCCCTCCTTCCCTCCCTCCGCCGTGCCCGTTCCCGAATGCGGGCGCCGCCGTGACACAGGGGAGGGCCCGGAGGGGCGGGGGAGGGCGGGGAGGGAGTGCCCCCGCGCCGCGCGGGGCAGCGGCGGGGCGGGACGGGATGGAGAGGAGCGGAGCCCCCGGCCCCAACCCGGCCGGCCACCCTCCCGGCCCGGGCCGCGACCCCCGCCCGGCCCCGCCGCGGCCCCACGTGCGCCCCGGGCGCCCCCCATTGTAGCCCCGGGGCCGCCGCCGCCGCCCCATTGGCTGGAGGCGCCCGGCGGCCACGCCCCCCCGGGCGCTGATTGGAGCAGAGAGGGCGGGACGCTCCGAGCGCGCGGGGGGGATGAATGGGGAGGGGGGAGAGGCCCCGCCCACACATCGGTGACGTCACGGGCTCTGGCCGCATCCGCGCATCACCCCGGGCAACGCGGGACACGCCTCCTTTACTACTGGACACGCCCCCCGAGAGCCTCGGCCACGCCCCCGCCGGGGGACACCCCGATAGCGGCCACGCCCACCGCGGGCAGACACGCCCCCTCGGAGGAGGTCGCGCCCCTTCAGATGAGGCCACGCCCCCCGCCCACCTTGCGGCGACCCCGAGCACGATCCCAGTCCCGACCCCGATCCCAGTCCCGACCCGGCCCCCACCCCGGCCCTGCCCGCAGCCCGCCGGGCCCAGCAGCCCGGTGAGTGCCCGGTGGTGTCGCCGCAGGGCACGCGGGGATGTTTAGTCAGACACACGAAGCCCACCCGAGGCCTGGCAGGGCAGGAGGGCAGGGGCGTTGCCTCAACCCGCGCACCCCCGGCACCCACGAGGGTGCAAACGCCTCATCCTGCACCCGCACGCGTCTCTCACCCACGGGGAGACACACATGAGCCCTGCCCGTGCCCACCCCGCTGCCCGCGCCTCAACACACTCCTCCTCACAGACACCTTCGCCCCCGACCCACAGCCCAGGGAGGGGGCAGCCACTCTGCCCGGCCCCACTGCAGACCCGCCCCTCCGCACCCGCCGTGCCTGGCTGGCCCTGGGAACACCGTCACTGAGCTCCCTGCATCCCCCCGGCCTTTGTCACCCTAAGTGCCACCAGCTGTGCCTGCAACAGTGTCTTTCCTGCCACAGTCACGTGCAGTCCTGCTCCTGAAGCCCCGTTCCTGGTCCGAGCGGACGGGCTGAGGTCACCCAAGCAACTGAGGAGCTGATGGTTCCAGCCTGGGAGTGCTCGGCCTGACAGCTCTAATAATATAATAAAGTATAATCTAATAGTTATAATATAATATAATAAATATAATACAATACACAGGCGGGACTTGACAAGTGCTCTGTTTCACAACCCACAGCGACAGTGGTGGCTGCAGAGGCTCCAGCTGTCTCTGGAGGCACAGCACAGCACAGCACAGCACAGCACGAGGGCTTGGGGTGTGTTCCCTCATTCCCTACCAGGCAACTGGGGACCTGCTAGCCAAGCCCCACATCTCCTTGGTTCCACAAGTCCCGGAGAGCTGAGCCAGGCTGGCACCAGACATGCCCTGGCCAGCCTGGCTATGGGGGTACCAGAGCACCCTCAGGACAGACCTGACCCCAAAACGCCCCCACAGATCCCAGGGTGCTCATCTCCCTGTGCCTCCCTCCTTCCCAGAGCATTTCTCCAGCGACTATCCCAAATTTCCCTTGCTGTGGTTTGTTTCCTTCCCTTTCCCGAGGACCCGCAGGCAGAACCGTTCCCTCTCCGCAGCCTTTTGCCCATTTGGAGCCACGGATGTTTCTTCCCTCAGTCTTGCCTTTCTTAGTCAAAACACTCCCACATTTCTTACCCGCTCTTCCAGCCTTGTTTTCCCAGCCCAGTTCCCCAGTGCTGAGCTGTGTGGAGGGTCCCAGCCTGCACAGCCCTTCCCGTGCTGCTCCGTGGGTGCCTGGCCCTGCCTGGTGCTGCTCCCTCTCTCCTGCAGCACTTCTCCTCCTGCTCTGCAGCAGGTGCATCTCCCTGAGCGACCTCATCCGTCGGGGACAGCGCTCAGAGCTCCCTGCCCCTGCAGCCGGGTCATCCTGGAGCTTTATCAGTGCCCAGTTCTGCAGGAACACACTGGGCTCACTGCCCTGCTGCCTCAGTTTCCCCACTGCACAGCAGAACTGCCCTGGGCACACGGGGATGGCCCGGGGTGGGGGGAAGGTGACAGAGCTGTTTTGGACAACTTTGTGACTCCTCACACCTAAAAGCAACCCAAGATGCTCCTATCCCCTGCTGCTCCTCTCTCATGGCACTCCCATCCTGTGGTGCTGCCATCCCTGGGATCCCTTGCACACCTGCTGCTCCAGAGCCTGGGATGAGCACAGGCACAGCAGGTCCAGGGGCAAAGGGCAGGGAAGAGCCATCAGGGTAGCGGCAGCAGCAACAGGGAAGGGGGTGATGGGCAGATGGAGCTGCAGGGTCTGGGTACACAAATCTCCAACATCCTGGGGAAACTGGTCATGGCCCCAAACCTGCCAGAACTCAAGGAGCATTCGGACAACACGTGGTGGGATTGTTGAGGTGTCCTGTGTGGGGCCAGAAGTTGGAGTCATTGATCCCTGGGAGTCCCTTCCAGCTCAGGATATTCTGGGATTCTGTGATCTTTCCCATGCCAGTGCAGCCCTTGCCCGATGGAAACCCCCAGTGTGTCCTTTCCCTGATGGCTTCCAGCAGCACCTGGACAAAGGTGTCCCATGGAGTGCCCTGCTTCCCCCTCCCTGCCCATCCTACCAGGAAAGGGTGCTCCTCTGCCCTCCAGCTCTGGGGCACAAGCCAATTTGCTCTTGATGATGGTGAAGCCACTCAACAGCTTGGTTTGTTGTGTGAAGCTCACACTTCAGGAGAGGGAGGGGAGGGGTGGCACAGATGTGCCCAGCCTTGGTAAGGTGCCCACCGCCTCCAGGGTGGGAAGAGTGAGGCTGCGAGGGCAAGCAGGAGCTCAGTGGGGGTGGAGTGGGCAGGACCAGCTCTGACACACCCTGCCATGCACATGTGAGCTGCTCCTTGCAAGCGAGGGTGGCAGTGAGGGGGGCTGCCCTGGCTCAGCTCTGCCCCCAGAAAGCACTGGAGCTGTGCCCACCAGAAGTGGGTGGATGGGCTGGTGGATGCCTCAATGCCTGGGGGCTGGTGGATGTTACAGCGCTTTGGCTGCTGCAAGTCACCTGCCAAACTGCTCTGAATGGTCTCAGTGGAGTGAACAGGGGGATCTCCAGTGTGTACCTCAGCACCTCCCCCCAGGGCAAACCCTCCCTGGGCAGGGGGAGCTGGGAGAGCAAGGGCTGGGCAGAGTTGGGGGATCACAGCCCCCACGTTAAGGGAGAGGGGCAGGTTGTGGGATGAGGAGGAGGAGCAAGAGAAGGAGGAGGTGGAGGAGGAGGTGGAGAGCTGCTGCTCCAGGCATCTCCTGATGGACCAGATCCCAGGAGGACAGTGCAGCTGGAGCCCCTGCTCGCCCATCTCCCTGGCAGCTCTGGGCAGAGCAAGGCTTGGTGTCCTCACCTGGTGCTGGTGTCACCTCCCATATCACCCCACCCATCTTTCCTCCATCTGAATGGTTCCAACAACATCCCACGTTCAACATGTTCAACATCCCATGTTCAACATCCCACAACAACCCCTCTACCCTTTCCACCCCTACCCAGATTGACACCGAGAGCTGTTTTGGAGCCCCATCCCCTTCACCATTCCAGCAGCTCCAGGGTCCAGGGCAGAACCCCACGGGTGGTGATGGAGCTGTGGGAACCGAGGAGGAACCACGCTGGGCAGGGCTGTGCTGGAAGGCAGGAGAGATATCTGCCCATGCCAAAAACCACCAGCAGGCTCCCAGGACTGTGTTTGGGACCAATTTGTCCAACCACCAAGGAAAAATTCAACTTCCACCATCACAGCTCAGCATTCCCAGCTGCAAGGGCACTGGGGGACAGAGGAGAGAGAGTGGCATCAAGGGGAGAGGGGAGCACCCCAGTGTGCCCACCACATCCATCAGCCTCACCCCAGGCCCCTGATCACAACGGGAAGCACCAGTTGTTGGGTGTCTGCAGGAGATGGATGGGGGGAAGTACCAAGACAGCCCCAGTAGTGTGTGAGGCGCCTGCTCTGCCTTGGGAGGCAAAGCCACACGTGCAGCACATCCTGTGAAATGCCAATTCTCCCAAATGCTAATTTGGGCCCTGGAAATGACACGTGTGACGATCCCTCGTCGCCTCCTCCCCGGGAAGTCGCGGCACGAGAGGAGCTCGAGCGGCGCCGATTAAAAAGTACTTTCACGGAACATAAAGTGGAAGTTAAGTGAGGGAAATGATAAAGTCAGAATGAAATATTTTTACTTTCCCGAAATGAACTTGGTGTTTTGACATGCTCGGAATAAACATTTTGACACCGCTGAAACGAGAAAGTCAAAGTGATTCCAGGAGGCTTCTTCCCGGGGAAGATGGCAGCGAGATCGACAGGTTCCCAGGGAAAGATTTGATTCCAATAAACCCCTGTTTTCCGATGGAAAACCATTCCAGGCAGTGTTTTCCTTCAGCCCTGCACGGAGAACAGGTGAGACCAGCACCTGACTTGTTTCTCTGAACTGTAGCAGGGAGGGAAATCTGCCTTCATCCCGCTGGGAAAGGGAGACACAGGGCTGGATGGACTCACCCTGTGCACCTCGGGTCTAGATCCTCCCCCACCTCATAAGGGCTGGTGCTGAACCCTCACTCTGTGTCAGAGGCACAGGCAGTCCAACAGCAGCAGGGTTTGTCCCCTCCTTCACCCCCATGCTCATGGTCACATTGTGTCAAACCAAGGGTGTCACAGTGGGCTAAATTTTTATTCTTTTGTTTGGGGAAATTCCAAGAATTATTT